TAATATATTATTCTGATAATATATTAACAAATTATTTATTTTAATTTATTAATCAAATAATAAATTAACTTCTCTCTCCGAAAATCATCTTGTTTAGTTGGTAGTCTTGAGGGTAAACCAAAAAGGATTGTGCTACTATCAATTTAAGTATATATCAATTATAGTTATGAGCTTAAACACTTAATCCAACACTTTCATCCCTAGTTTATCCACCGCAATCACATTATGAATGACGATACACTTAATCATAATTTTACCTATACAAGACTTAGGTGTCAAAGAAACGCAAAACAAGCTTTTAAAACTTAAAATACTCCTTCAACATCTTTTCTAGCGGTCTCTTGAAGTTCATAAGTATTTTCCTTTGATGTGGATATCTGTGACAATCAAACATCGCAAGCTATATGATACATATGAAATTTCAATGAGAGATTTTATTTAAAAAAAAAACATGAATATAAAATAAGTGTCATATATGTTGCAATGAAGATGAATTTTACTATGCAACCAATCATGACAAAGAAGAATTCAAACTGGTCTTGCACATCTGCGTGGGCATATCTCCTATGGTAATGGTAACATCTGGTTTTCGCGGATGCAATGCAAAAACTTCAATTTTTTTTTTTTTTTTTATTAGCGTGATATTACTAAATTTCTCGTGACAACCCTACTATAAAATCCTGACAATGAGGAAACAGATGCAAATGAGTTGTCCGAGATCCCCTAAAGCTTAAGAGTAAGAAATATCTATTTCTTTCTATACAAAAAGGAAAATCAAATTATTATATCTCTGAAACGGAATCAAGTATTTTTGGAATATTATTTTTGTATCATTAGATATTGGTTTTGTAGGCAGAAGAGAAAGGGCCAAATTTATTTTGCTTCCATATGTTATTTTACTATTCTGATGGTGATATTAACTCTTTTTCTTATAAAGCAACACTAGTGGAGCCCTTAAAATAATAAAAAATGGGGCCTAATCAAAAGGAACTACTTTTGTTCCAAATTACCCCTCACCGTATTCTTTGCTTTACTTAAGGTGCTGGACTTCAAACTCGTATTCCCACTTCATACTGCCTTGTTTGTTTCTTTTCATGTACTCTACATTAAATTTATTCACTGGTCACTGTATTTTGTTCCAAATTACCCCTTACCCTATTCGTCGTTCAACTATTTATGAGTATAAACACGAGTGAATAACTATAAATTAATCGAATTCTACCTTTTGGGATATTGATTAACAAAAGTGAGCCAACATAACTACAGTGGTCAAACAAATAAGCGTTGCATCCACATTCCACAGTCCACGCCACGTGTATTCGGAACCCATAGTTTGAAAACCTTCTCGTGGGGTATGAATGTCATTTCACACTTGAAAATGGAGTGTTACTTAATGGCTAAGAAGTGCAATTTAATCATTTTTCTTACTTTGTATATTAAAGTTGCTCCATACCCCCTTGGTGCAAAAAAAAGCTATGGAGCCAGATGTACACAAATTGGAATTCACGTACCTTTTTTAAAACCATAAAACCACTAAAAGCTATAGATATAATGAGATGACAAGATATAGAGATCATTTAACAAAGAAAGCAAAATGTCGAGGTTTAGCAACACCTTGATAGGTTTCTTGAACCTACTGACACTCCTGGTTTCCATTCCGATCATCGGTGGCGGCTTATGGATGGCAAGAAGCACCACCACCTGTGAAAGCTTCCTTCAAAGGCCACTTATGGTGTTAGGGTTTGTGATCTTGCTAATATCACTGGCTGGTTTCATAGGTGCATGTTTTCATGTGGTATGGGCTTTGTGGGTGTACTTGGCGGTGATGTTGTTCTTGATCACCACCTTATTAGCGGTGACGGTTTTTGGGTTTGTGGTGGCGGGTCCTGGCGGTGGAGTGGAGGTTCCCGGCAGGAATTATAAGGAGTACCACTTGCAAAGTTATTCACCTTGGTTGAGGAAAAGGATCGAAAATCCTGATTATTGGATGACTATTAGAAGTTGCATCTTGGGGTCCAAGACTTGTAGTAAGATTGTTATGTGGACACCTGTTGACTATTTGACTCGAGACATGTCTCCGATTCAGGTACTTTTTTAATGATCAATCACCTGTAAAATAGACCATTTCCTTGCTAAAAAGTCGATTCTTGTTCATAATTCGAAAGTTTGAAATGACTCAAAATTTTGTTACTTATGGGAAATCCCATTTTCTCGACTTTCTCTATATCAAGTCATTTTTAATTTCCATATATAACAAGTCATAAGGAAACACATATAGAATAGAATCGACAGAGACTAACGGGTTATTTCTTTTTGAATTAATGAATTCAATTAGTTTTACGGTTAACCTGAAGTTCGTTTCTTTTTTACTTAATCTGTACGTACATAATGACTTAATCACTTAAGTCAACAAAAACATGAATCACTATATATTAAGTCACTAACCATTTACCTATATATTTTCATTTCTTCTTTTTTCCTCTATGACATAACACATTAGTACGTGTACATGTTTAAGTTCATGAAGCAAAAAACAAGACCTAAGATGATTACATTAATTTTGTTGTATGTTAATATATGCAGTCAGGGTGTTGCAAACCACTAACTTCATGCAACTATGAAGCGCCAATGATGACACAGGATCCCGACTGCTACAAATGGAGCAACGACCCAAGCGTGTTGTGCTATGAATGTGACTCGTGCAAGGCGGGGGTGCTAGAGGATGTGCGGCGGGATTGGCACAAACTGTCGATTCTCAACATCGTTATGGTGATGCTTCTGATTGGCATTTATTGTATCGGTTGTTGTGCATTCCAGAATGCAAAGAGGGACGATAGCTACCCTTCTAATAGAATGTATAAAGTTCGACCCAAATGGAATTTTTATTCTGGTGGAAGATAGTTTACTAACTAATTTTGTCATTTTGTTTTATGGTAGAACTATAGTCAGATTTATAAGATATTTCGTGTACATTTATAGAAATTTTGAATTTTTTTTAGTTGCAACTCTAAATTTCTAGTAACTTTGAAGTACAAAATAAAATATACATATAGGAGGGTTTGGTTTGTTTTTAGAAAGTACTCAAAGCCGATGAACAATAGAAATTTAAAAATTTACTGATTCGGACTGGATTTCCATGTAACCCGATAAACAAAACGTAAACTTTGGATTATAAAATATATATGACAAATAATATTATAATATAATTTATTATTTGAATATATAAAAAGTCATAGAAGTTAAATTACTGATTCATTTTATTATATTAATTGTCTTCTGGATTTCAGTCGAGTATATCCCCGGCTCCTCGCCTCTCATTCTCTTTATCTTTGTGACTTTTATATGAAATGCTAAATAGACTAATCAAATTAATTTACAACTTGGATTCTTTTTCCAATTTATTTTAGTTTAATTATACTAAAGTTCAAGTACGGATAGAAAACAATTTCAAGGAAAGCAACTAAGTATGTTAAAACTTATTATTATTATTATTATTATGTATGTTAGATAATTTAATTGAAAATTAGATAGTAATATAATACGATTACAAAAGTAAAGTATTTGTGTAATACCACATTTGTTTCAATATTTATTTGAAATTATAAAAAAGGTAGATTGATTGTAATCATCTTTGTGTTTAGAGATAACCATTGATTGATCTATAAAACATTATTTAGTCATCAACACAATCTTTTAAGATATGCTCAGTCAAACCAGCTGGACTCAATGTTTAGTCAAAAACTAGGGACTGTACCAGATAGATGGCACGGTTCGGTTCAACTCGGCTCGGTCTGATCTTGGTTTGCTCTATTATGTAAGTCCAGTATTTTACTTTATAAAATACAATATAGTATATATACGATTAACTAAACACAATGCAACACTTTATTAATAAATATGATCATGTTTTTGTTGTTGAAAAAAACCAAAGGAATATCTTTATTGAATTAACTTTATGCATAATGCTCGTGTTATGTTACTGTCATGTTGGAAAAGTTGTGTATCGCCTCCTAATTGTTGTTGCTATTGAAAACGTATATATTTCTTGGAAGACAAGAATTCTAAAAAAAAAAAAAAACATAATATAGTTTTAAGGATTTCAATAAGAAGACGATGGTATATTGTCATTTTATATGGACTTAAAAGGTTGAGTCATTAAGTGAAATGGCTATAGGGAAGAAAACATGCAAAATTCCTTATGGACGAGGTTGGACTGATTTGGAATTGAAATCCATTAAAATTATTTGTTTGGTTCAAAAAGATGGAATTTAAAATCCCATGATCTATCCCAAACCTCTTTGCAGGTGCACCTTGGGAGGATGCCAATGAGGATATTTACAGATAATTACACTTTTTAAACATCTTGATTTATATAAAAATATATTACAAAGTAGTTCAAAAACACAATTATTTCAAGAAACTATTAAGTTAAATTATCTTGAACGTCTTAAAGTTTAAAGTGACTAAATAAAGTCTAAACTCTAAACTAATAGAAGTGTCGATTTTCAACATTAACAATATTTTATTATTTTATACAAAATGAGAATGACTCATGTAGTGTTAAGAATGTTGGACACGTTAACTCCCAACTTTATAACCTAACATAACTAAATACTAATGCTTCAGAGTTGAGACAAATTTACAGCAAAAATATTAATCATTTATCTTTCCAACATGAATCGTAAACTGATCACCATTATTTCTTGGACACAGTAACAGGAAAAAGATACTTTCATCTCAAACTCAAAAGCTTCGTTACACTTTATAGTTCATAATGGTGTACTGTATATAAACATCACGTGGTAAAGTTTGTGGGGCTCCTTGCTTTCTCCATTTCAAGATCTACTATTTTCTCACATACCTCACAGTTTAATCATGATGTATAATAAACTGATATAATTTAATAAGGAGTAGTTAAATACCAAAGCCTCAGGTTAAACTAAATAACTGACAACTTTGAATTAACTTAACGAGAAATGTAAATTATAATTTATCAAGTCGACCTTTTAAATAGTATATATATGTACGCAATCATGAAGCAAGAATCAGGATGTTGATGAAATATATGTTTCTTGCACCACACAACACAAAGAACAAATCCTTACATGCTTTACACACCTAATAATATATGAAAACCAGTAAAACGCTTTGTTTTCTGGTGCACTAACTAATAAAAACAACAGCAAAGCAGTAGCAATAGAACTAAAATTAAGCTAAGGAAATTACATGACATGCTGTACAAGTGAATGCATATGATGTGGCATCTATTTACAGAATGAGAAAGCAAAGCAAAAGGGGTGGGTGGGTGACTACTGATTTGAGCATTCGGTTTTGCAGATGGGGCATAACTTCTTCATCAACAGCCACTTCTTGATACAATCCACATGATAACCATGTCCACATCTTTCCATCATTCCAATTGCATCACCATTTTTATACTCTTCCTGTTCCATTCCAACCAAACACATTTATTTATTATCACTTTTGACATTTTGTATGTGAAAAGGGAAATAATACACAAGTGCTTACAAGACAGATGGGACAAGAAACCTCCTCATGGTTTTGGTTTTGGTTTTGGTTTTTGTCTGAAGAAGAATAGTAAAGTTTTTCCCTTAAACACTTGGACATGCTGTCCTCAGACAAGCCTGTGTTAACACTCCCTATCCTTTCCTCGAGATTAAGCAGTTCCTTCAAAAAATATATATACATACATTAAAAAAAGAATATAAAAAGACATTAATTAATTACACAAGTGATTTTTATGAAACCTCATAGCTCATGTTGTCGATGTCTAGCCTCAAATCTCTATACTGATCCGAGAAATTCCTGGAATTGCCATACAAGGATGCCCCCCGATCCACCATCATCAAGGTCTACACACATTCATTAATTACTAAATTTTAAAGTAAACATGTTACAATTGAAAAAAAAGCTAGAGAAACACACACCTCATGTCCAATTCTATCATGGGATTCCGTTACAGTTACATCAACAACGGAATGGAATCTCTCAACTGTTATCCTTGGCCTTCCACTCCTGTGGCTGTAATTACCCCTCCACCCATTCGGAGACCAATGCCTTGAGTTTCTAGGAGAGAAATTGTCTGGTGGAGCCCGCAGCCCATTCCCATTTGTTGAAGATGATGCATGTCCATAGTGGGAGTGGGAGTGGGAGTACCTGGAAGCACTACTATATGAAGAGTGAATTCTGCGAGAATGGTTGTTGGCATGAACATGAAGATTTTGTCTGCTGCTGCTGCTGAAAACTGGATCACCAGAGCTTCCTCCAACATGAAACTGATTCATCTCATGTCTCATGTCTAAATTTTCATCAAAGAATGTAACAAAATTTTAATAATGCCATCACAAGTGATTATTACTTGATAAGAAATAGTAGAATTTTACCTCGTATGTGGGAGGGAGCAGGATAATGAGGAACATGGGGGGCGGCTGAGGAGTAATTTGGAGGAGGTGGTGGTGGTGGTACTGGTACTGGTGCTGACTGATAAAAATGGTTTGAGACATGGCTTCTAGATGGTTCTGATTCCATGTCATCATGTCTATATCTACGTCTCACGCTCCTAGATGAATCTTGACCATCGATTGTGAGATTGCCCCTGTATTGATCTAGGGTTGGTTTTTCTATTGGCATCTGAGAAGCAGAAGAAGAACTGGATGAACTTCCTACAGTGTAGAGGCTGTTTAAGCTACCTGACCTTTTTCTTTTGAGAGGCCCTCCTCCTCCTCCTCCTCCATTGAGTGTTGGATGGTGGTGGTGGTGGATCAACGGACCAGATTCCATATCATGTGAGTTTGGAAGATGATTATAATTAGTATAATGAGTGGGGTGTCCACCAGTGATTGATGGATGCGGAAAAGGTGGCACAAAGGGCGGCTGTACTTCCATGCTAAGGTTTGATGAAGGAGGAGGAGGTGGAGGAGGAGGAGGAGGATATTCGTTTGCCCTGCTGCTGCCTCCTTCCAAATTTCTGTGACCTCTTGACATATGATTCATCTGATTCTGACCAACAAAAGGACCGTTTTCTGCCCTTCCTGCTAAAGGAGAGGATTACCTCAATATTCCTTACAATTTGAATATACTTATTTTAAAAAAAGAAAAAAAAAATACCTGTAGGAAAGTAAGAGTGTTCCACCACTGGCGCATGGGTATGGTTGTTATCCTGTTGGTCAACTCCAAATCTTGTAAATGAGTTGGACAAGTGTCGATGCCTCATCCTTTTTGACAGATAACTTTACTTCACCTTTTGCTACAAGCTACCTTTTTTGCCAACCTGTACAGATAGCTTCAAGTTTCAAAACTTTGCATTGAATAAGCAACTACCATTGCAAAATTCTTAAAAAAACTACCCTTCGCAACAGCAAACACAGAGACTATATTCATTTGTTATCAGATTACAATTTCTAAATGCTTTCATCATTTAAATTCTCACATACCTGTAGTTAGTAGTTACAGATTATGCTGACAAGACCATGCTACAACATTCAATTCAACCTACCAATTACTTAACGTAACCTTTTCCAAGAACATCAAAAATAACCAAATCCAGAAAGGCAACACTTTTAAATGACATTGTTAATTGCTAGTTTGCTAAATTATCATGAAATTCAGTTTGGAATGGATTGGGAATGAACCCAGAAAAGATGGAACACAAACAAGAATTACTCCTCCATTGACTGAATTGTTAACTCAGGGTGACAATAAGGATAATTTTTTTTTTGGTCTAAGGAAGGACATTGGTATGAGTAGAAGAGACAGCCTATTTGCAAAATGGAAGATGCTTAGACAAGGAGTCTTATGGTCTGTTTGGTACAATGGAATGGAATGAATCATTCAAACATGTTTTTTTTATCAATAAATATAAACCTAAGTAGTGTAAGATTGTTAAACAAAGAAAAAATAAAATACTTAGATACAATGAAATCTTGAAATATAACTATAAATAAAAAATATTTAGTTGAGTTTTGAAATTTTAAAAAGATTAATAATATTGAAAACTACATGAATAAAAGTAATTTATAACTATAAATATATATCATTCCATTCCAAGAAAGAATGAAAGAAAAAACACTCCTCCCCCATGGAATGAAAATAAGCCTCTAGGAGAAGGAATCACATTCTCCATTCCATTCCTTATGGCAACCAAACAAAGAAATTTTCCATTCCGCCCTAATCCTCCATTCCAATACCTCTTCAATTACTACATACCAAACGCTACCTTACTGCATCATGTTGGCCACATCATTGCAACAAGAAACCTCAACTCCTTTGAAGTCAAGTGATGTACATAGATCAAATGCTATCTATCTTCAAATTCCAACATTTAACAGAGCAGCATTCCAGCTTGTGAGTTCCTATTTCTGTTTTAAATTGGAAATTTCTCACCAACTAAAAGTAACAAATTTCTAAAAGGCTCAAACTAAAATATGCTTAATGAAGTTAAATCCATACCAAAAAGACCTATCGAAGGCCCACTACACGTAAAACTTCAAAAGACATACCTCCCAATCCCATAGCCTATCCAGCTTTCCCATACATATCTTATTCAGACAAGATAGGGTCAATAGGTACCTCATAAATTTCTCCCTGGCAATTTCACCTATATAATTCAATCCTGCACTGCACAAAAAAGGTTATCCTGGATAAAAGTAACTACATAAGGGCCTCATAATTGCATTAGATCATAGTGTTTGAAAAAGGTTTAAGGGCCACATAGAAATATACTGCTAATTAAAACAAACAAAACTTACAAGGAGGTGGTGTCCAAAATTCACAAGAGAGAGAGAGAGAGAGAGAGAGAGAGAGAGAGAGAGAACTTGAAGGATGGATCAACTGATGGAATTGTATTACTACATTCTTATTTTGGTAAGGGCACAGAGATTAAAACATGATCACCCTAATTTGCAAGAGGCGTGATTGGTCTCTGGATATGCTAAAACAAGTTCATCATTTGATAATATGGGGGTAAACCAAAGACCTACAACCACCAATGAAGAAACTCTACCTATTGTAGCAGCAAATCATTAAACCAGGAAATATGCAGCTCCACAGGAATGCGTGCAAATACTACAAGGTTTTGTGATAATTAGCAGAGCTACATACATGAATGAAATCATGTGTCTACATCAGAGCCACTGAAGATGTAGAAACTGCAGCAAGAGAGCAGAAAAACAGAGCCTACATGAACGAAAATATGTGTCTCTGATTTGACAAAGAGGGTTTTGATTCAAGGGGGGAGGCAGTGTTTGTGAACTTTTAAGTGAATATGACATATACTTATTACTTTTCTATAAATAAAGTCATAAAACAAGCATATCTTCTAGTAGGTAGTTTGATATTTGACTTGAATTTAAATCCATAGCTATTCAGTAGGAAAATCTGCAATCCCTTTTCCAATTTTCATTGGCTAGGGAGATATTAACTGTGTGGTCGCAGTTTAAGAACAGCAGCGACATCATAGACATACTAAAAGAAGCATAATTTATCAAAGATATAAATATAAGCTCATAACTATTATCGAACAGATGATCTCTATTATCTTTTCTCAAATTCATTTTCCTTTCTGTTCATTTTTCCTCTATGCTTTATCAAACAGAATATTGATCGTCTTTTGAAACACTTGTGGGGGTAATATGCCCCTTATAATAAGAAATATAGCAAATAAAACAAACATCTGATAAATGAATTTAGTGGATCAGACACAATAAAGATAACATAAGGATCTCCAACTTTGATTAGGTATCAGAGCAGCTACAGTTACATGCATCACTATGCACATTTCAGTATGATGTTTTAAGGTTCCCCATGTGACAGACAACTAGATGGCATGGCATGTTATAACTTGTTTAAATTACATTGACACTAAGCACTATTGGACACAGCCTAAATTTTTTGGCTTTAGTACGTAAACTCCTATCCACCATGATCTGTAAACTCCTATCCACCATGATCTGGGATATATAACTCCACTCAACTTCCAGGGAGCTTAAAGTTCACATCTTACAGATGTGACCCAATTACAATTGCCATCTTCTTGTCCATAGTTAAACTTTAGAATACACATTTGGTTACCAAAACTAAATAATAATGAAAAGCTTCTCTTTGACCACAGAACAGCATAACATCTCTCCAACATATAGCAACCTGTACTATCATGATCCAATCTTCATCTAGAATAGGGATGAGCAATAGGATATGATGCGCTCTTCAACCAACTTCCAACAATGGGGTTCATATAAGTGAAAGTAAACCTTTTCCTATAAACATCTCTTCTGTATAACCTGAGCAGATTTTAATACTTTCAGTTTTTTACATGGTCAGTCTGTTTCAACATGTACAATGGAAGGTAAGGTTCCTTGCTGCAAAAAAACAATACTGCACACTCTGATGGTGTGGGTTAGAAGATAATGTGCATAAAGCAATTAATAGCTTATTCTCTGTTTAAAAAATAAGACTTTCTATCTTAGCTCACCTTTTCTTTTAGTTTCTATGAGAGAGCCCACTTATATACACCTATAAGCTAGGAAGAAAGGAATGGGTGCAGATGCCGTATGCGCTAGATATCATGTTACATGGATTTGCCAACTAAAATTTACTATAATCGGGTGAGGCTCAAGAAAGTATCTACATATATGGACAACTTCAGGATCCTACAAGAAAATAAACAAAATGATTTTTGTTCTTTGAGAAAACTGAACAAGAAAAATGTCCAACTACACTTAATAGATAAGACAAGGATGTATGATAGAGCAAACTAGAAAACAGCACATCAAGACTCTAGTTATTGGTTACTTGGTTAGACTCAAGGGTGTATGGTTTATGTTTTTTTTACAATATTTACATAAGATATGCCTATATTTTAGGTGTTTCTGTTTCTTTCTAATCCTGTAGAATTCAAAGCCTTGAAACAAGAACCTAATACAGAAAAAAGTAAGACGAACCTGTCAAAAACAAGTCAAGCCACATCCCTCCTGCACCCAAGACACACCCATGTAGTTGTTGTCTACATATCAATTGGGTGTGCACCTGATGCATATCTGATTGCACTCAAGCCAACCGACACCCAATTTGCACCCAATGTCACAGTTTGGACATAACAGCCTAACTCAAAAATTAGTGTAGCTTAATTTATAAGCTTTATCATCTTATACTGGATGTTAGCTTGAAGCTTAAAAGGTCAAGAAAATCAAATCAACTATGACCATAAAGAAATGAAACCACCAAAGTATGATTGATCTATTTATATTCATCGTAATCGTCCACCAAAATGTAGCACTCACACTGATAAAATAATAAATCAAAACCTAAAAAAAATAAAAAATAAAAATAAAAATAAAAAGCCTAAAGTCCTCCACAGATGAAAATCGAAAAGGAGAACTCAGAAACAGAAACGAGAGAAAAGAAAAATGGTGATCAACCAGCCTCTCTATTTCCTTAATATTTTGTATCCATAACACGCAGATCCAAAAGTTTTAACGACCGTATTTGAGGAAATTATATGTAGTATTCTCCCCATAACATAAAAATACACAAATAACATATGTATACGCCTATGTGTGTATAATCCATTAATACTTACAACACAAAACCCCAAATAAAACTCGATTCAGGACCAGTTAGATGCATTTTTTTTTGTTTATTTGTTTATTTGTTTATTTAAGAGGATCTACTTGTTCGTAGGTAAAATAGGATTTCATCGGAACATCGGATTTCAACCGACTAAGCGAACATACATAGATTGAAAACAAAAAGCAACACAAAAACCAAAACGAGAACAAAATGATCGGGAAAGAGATCGATGATGGTGGCGATGAGGATCGTACCGCAGAAAAAGCGTGAAGTGCCGGCGGTCAAAAGATCGACGTCGGCGATTTGATAGAGAATTTACAGGGTTTTCTTTTTAAGTAATCAAGAATAAGCGTTGGCGTATGGAATTGTGTTGTTGATAGAGAGTTCGGTGGTTACCCTTTATATATAACGAATTGTTCCTGCCAAACTTGATTTCAAGATTCGTTTCGGTACGACCAAACTCGAATTCGGATCCGGATCTGGATCCGATCCATTCCGTATGAAATGTTGGCTTGTCCTCTATAAAGGTATTAAATTAAAGTTCGTAATATTGAAATATTGTTTGTCGTGCTAGAATGATATATGATAAGTTATCTTAGTTCTTTAATTTTCGTATTTAGTTATTACTATATGATAACCTCACGGTTTTTATTCGGTGTAAAGTCCAATAATATAAAATAATAAAATATAATTATCTCGTACATACGAAATACTAGCATGAATGAGAGTAATGGTCATTTTCTTTGGAATACATATACACAATCTCTTTTTAAACATATTGAAATTTCCGGATCAAATATCATGTATAATACAAAGATGTTAATATGTTTGAGAAGAGATTGTCTACATGTATCTAGAATAAGATGAACCTTATTTTCATTCATACTAATATTTTGTATAACAAGTCGATTATGTTTTATTATTTATATTATTGGAATCGAAACTTAACAAAAATCATGTTGTAATTTTATGTGAGGCTTGTCCTCTCTAAAGGTATTAAATTAAAGTTCGTAATATTGAAATATTGTTTTTGTCGTGCTAGAATGATATATGATAAGTTATCTCAGTTCTTTAATTTTCGTATTTAGTTATTACTATATGATAACCACATGGTTTTTTATTCGGTGTAAAATCCAATAATATAAAATAATAAAATATAATTGTCTCTTACACACGAAATACTAGCATGAATGAGAGTAATGGTCATTTTCTTTGGAATATATATACACAATCTCTTTTTAAACATATTGAAATTTCCAGATCAAATATCATGTTTAATACAAAGATGTTAATATGTTTGAGAAGAGATTGTCTACATGTATCTAGAATGAGATGAACCTTATTTTCATTCATACTAATATTTTGTATAACAAATCGATTATGTTTTATTATTTATATTATTCGAATCGAAACTTAACAAAAATCATGTTGTAATTTTATGTGAGGTTATCACATCATATAATAACACATTATTTATATTATTTGGTTCTCGGGAACTTTAAGTTTTTAAATGATCATCCCCCATTTGTTGGATTGTTATCATCAATGTTATTTAAGTGTAATGGGATTACTTTGTTGACTAAAAATGATCTTGACAAATATTAAACAAGTAAGAAATGTGTGGAGTACACACTTGTTTAAGTTTGATCAAGTATCAAAGTATACTGTCATTTAGGGGCAAAGCCCCTAAATGAACGGGGGGTTCGGGGGCAGCGCCCCTGGGAGCAGGGTCCAAGGGGCAGAGCCCCTGGCTGTTTTGACTGTTGATCCATATACAAAATCCAAATTTATAACAGTTTTGACTGTTGAGAAAAACTGTTATATGACAATTTTGACAGTTTTTCAGACAAAGAAGGTTTATAACCAATTTTAATCATTTTTCTGGTACTCACAAAATTACACCATCTTATTCTCTCTTTCTTTCTCTCTGATTTTCTCTGAGTCTTATCCAATTGAGGATTTGGGAGTACCACCCAAATACTTCGATTTGAAAGTGATTATCACGATTCTCAAATTTCCAAGTGCTACTAAACCATATTTCTAACACCCTCTCTCTTGCTCTCTCTCTCTCTCTCTCCATATATATATATATATATATATATATATATATATATATATATATATAGAGAGAGAGAGTGAGTGAGAACGAGAGAGGGTGGATGATCCTTTGAAAACTTAAAGTTTCCCGAGAACTAAAGGTGGAGCGTTGGATCAATTATTTGTATAGCTTAGTTGACTAGTACATTTAGGGGCATATTATGTTAATTAAAAGTGATCATGGGGGTAAACTCGGTAGAAAAATCTTCTATCCAAAAGATGAGGCAACCCACAGATCATTCCCCCAAAATCCTTCGTCGTCCTCACTAACCCCCTTTTCCCTAGCCTTGCTCGGTAATCGTTCGCCAAAATCGAGCATCGTCATCCGAAATCTATGGCTTCTTTCGTGTATATGCACTCTCTAATCTCCAAGTCACAAACGTTTAATCCACGAATCAACAGATCTAGGTCATGTTCCCCGCAACGTCTCAATCGTATTCCTCATCCATTTGAAATTGAATCCATAATCTATTTTATTTGCTCTCTCTTCCATGTATATCCTCTGCTCCTATATACTACTTTTCTACCATTCTTGAAGGAGATGAGCTTCAAAAGGTAACTATTCTGTTAGATCCTGAAGAACAACCTGAATGCCTAGTTTCCGAGTTTAAACAAAGAGAATAAAAGAAGAGAAAAGAAAGTAAGGAGTGAAAAGAAGATAAAGAAGAGGAAAATAAATTGTTCTTTTTCTTCTCGAGTTTGAGAGAAATGGAATGAAAGTTAATCATTTTGTTCTTTATTTCGAATCCTTCCAAGTCAGAAGGAAAGCTAGGAGGGAAAGTGATCCTTCCATTTCCCTCCACTTCCTTCCATTTCCTTCCTTTAATGAAACTCAGGAACACTAATTTCTTTTACTTTCTTATCATGTCCACTCACTTCCCTTCTTTTCTCTTTGTTAAGTTGAACTCGAGAACGGGGTGTAAAGGTAACCCTTCACTCTTACTAAATTTATGATTCGTAAGCCTCATAAGCAATAACAAAACTTTTGGTACAAATAATCTTTTAATATTACTTAAGTTCTCACCGCTAGCATACACTTTAATTGAGGTATAAAGCTTGATGGATCATATAACTTTTTGCTTTTATTTTTTATTTGATGTCTTAGGAATTTGGCATATATCCAATCAATGTTGCATGTTCGGGCTACGAGGAATCCCAAACAGTATCTTCGTAGTAAATTTCGTTAATCTAGTTCATATTGAATACATAACATGAGATGAATTGTTAATTGATTAAATTAGTTGATATTTGGTTTTTACATGTTTGGTATTGCATTATATAGCAAGCACGAAGAATGATATTGCTCTTAATCCGCTATCTGATGTATCTATTAATCTAGTCCTTTCATGTTCTCATTTATTCCAATCATTAAATGCATTACCTGTTTTTTACTTAACTTCGAGTTTTAGGATCAGTGTGTAACGCCCGTAGATCCGGGCTAGTCAATTTAGAGACGATAAGCATCAAAAATGAATTTTTGATGGAATATTATTTAGAAGGATTAATCTTAACCAAGTTTTAGTATATGTCACAAGGTTTCCGTGCATATAAAGAAAGCCAAAATCCGAGTTATAACGAAGAAGTTATGACCTGTCGAAGTTTCGCGACAGAACCGGCACGACCCAGCGCGACCCATCGCGACATAAATAGTGAACTTAAGGTAGATAGATATCTATCCTTGGTGATCTAAACAAGAGTTGAAGATTTATTCGATAGTAGTCCAACGATAAAAAGACAGACGAAAACGGAGTTCAGATGAAAGAGTTATGAATTTCGAACGGAGTTTTCCTGTCCCGGCCTACTATAGATATATATAAGTAATATACTTATTATATATTAAAAATAAAGTCAAAATTAGCCAATGGAGTCTAAACGAGAGTTGTATAGCATCATCTCACATTCGCGGCGATATAAAGAACGTCGAAAACGGAGTTCGTATGCGAAAGTTATGAATTTCTGAAGTTCGGGGCGCGAAACCCCAAAACTGTCAGAGGCCACGACGTGGCAAGCAGTGCCACAACGTGGCAAGTGTCCTGACACCTCCGGGAGGCCCCCAGATGCAACTTGGGATGACGCATGCAGTGACGACCAAGCCCACGACGTGGAAAAATGTTGCCACGATGTGGCAAGGGCCAAATTTGCCCTATAAATAGATTTGAAGGGCCAGCCATTTAGGGTTGCTATTTTCTCTCTTCTCTCTCCCGTTTTGCATCGATTTTCGTGCTAGAAGTACCCCGAAGCCCCGGTAATATTCCCGAGTCCCGAAGCAAGTCCTGAGATCCCGAAGATCCCGAGAAGTGCGGTTTCCGAGTCGAAGCTCTGCCCGCGAGAAGTTCGATTTTTGCGGAGATCTTCCAGATCTACCGAAGAATACTACTTCTGCAAGTCGTAGTGCTGTCCGATCATCTTCTGATCAAGTGAGTGTATAATACCTTTGATAAACACGATAATAATACAAGTATGGTTTGAGTGTATTAAGTTTATTGTTGTTTATATGTGTGAGTGTGTGGTTACTTTCTTCTAACACATAAATATGATGTATTTGCTATGAAATACGTGCTATGTGTTTATATGTTATTTGTCTATTTGAGATGGGCATGTAAATTGGAGTTTTATACAAGTGTTAAATGATTTAAACTGTGCAAGTATTTATATCTACAAAATTATTGGGTAGAACATAGGTAGATGGAATAGTTGGTGACTATGGAGTTAGCACCTATTGTATAAACCTTGGCGACTATGGAGTTAGCGCACGTTGAGTAAACCTTGGCGACTATGGAGTTAGCGCTTGTTGAGTAAACCTTGGCGACTATGGAGTTAGCGCTTGTTGAGTAAACCTTGGCGACTATGGAGTTAGCGCTTGTTAAGTGAATCTTGGTGACTATGGAGTTAGCGTCAGATAACTATGGATTTAGTACTTGATAAATAAGCTTTGGCAGCAATGGAATTCATGCCAAATTCCTTACGAATAAATGAATGAAGGATAGTTGGTTCTTAGGGTAAAACCTTAAGGAGATAATGGGGATGGGTAATTGGGTTGATTGTTTGCTGATTACATATAATAATTATATTATTGTGGGTTGAAAACCCTATATGCTCACCAGGCTCCCAAGCCTGACCCACTCAGTTTACTTTTCATTACAGGTAATGGCATAAGGGTAAAAGTTGGTGGACTTGACGAGAGATTTTGGATTATAGATCAATAGTTGAATAATTATTGTAAGGTCTATTTTATATTGTTTATGCTTTTGGTCTGTATCGAACATGACATCCCAAGGTTTTATTATTTAATGA